TCCCGCCAGCCACCTAGGCCCGGGCCAAACAGGGGTTCATCCAGCCACCTAGGCCCGGGCCAAACAGGGTCCCGCCAGCCACCTAGGCCCGGGCCAAACAGGGGTTCCGCCAGCCACCTAGGCCCGGGCCAAACAAGGTCCCGCCAGCCACCCAAGTAAAATGATTATACTTCGTAAAACTAGCAGAATAGAGACAAGATTGAGCTATTAGTATTATTATTATTATCCTTTTTATTATTCCCAAATATTACATGGGCTTAGGGCTCTATTAAACCTTAATCCGACCCTGTCTGTATCACGGTATTTAGTATATTTTTGGTGTTCTTTGAATCTTACTTGTAAAGGGCATTGTGTTTCTCCAGTGTATTATTTACTACCTTAACACTGAGTGCTAAACACAGGGAAACGAATTTGTATTGTTTGGTACATCGTTGCTGGATGAAGGCTCGGGTAAGAAGGCTTAACATGTTCGCTGCCACCAGTAGTAGTATTACTAAATCCTACTCTAGTGCCAACCACGCGTTTCTTTTTTTATTTAACCCAGGTGTCTAATATTCATATGGGTAACTATACTGCGTTTAATTTGCTCATTGAAGCCACTTGTAATATGTGCCCCACCAGTGTGTCACGCCGTCCACAGCTAAAAGTCTGTTGTGACCCACCAGTTGGGAACATGGCAGTTAATGTGTTAAAGAAGAAGGTATTTAACGTAGAGAACAGTCGAGGTATACACTTTACAGGTCCTTTCTTTTTGTCAGAACCTTCTTTTGTTTATACGTGTACAGGGTGTCCCAAAAAAGAATATACCAAAAAGAAACTTGAATGTTTTTTTATTATTTGAGATAACAATGAAATTCAAAAGAAAATATCTTTTGAAGGCTTGTAAGTTTTATTTAAGTTAATTATTATTTATGAATGTGTTTTATTTCAGATTTTAGAATTGACCCTGTTTTTGAGTAGAATGAAAACTTCTGAAGAGTTCCCCCGATTTCACCCTTTTGTACTTTTATCTTTGTTTGGGGCTTTTTGAAAACAAAGGCCTACCATAAACCAAGGAATCTCGAGGAACTGAAACTTGGTATCCGTGATGCTGTCTTATCCATCCCTATAGCTATGTTGGAAAACGTTTTCTCAAATTGTGAACCAGAATTGAATTGATCGTAATTAATGATGAAAGACATGTAGAAGTTTATTAATTAAATAAAATAAAAGTTACAAGCCTTTAGAAGACATTTTGTTTTGAATTTCGTGTTTCCTCAAATTATACAAATCTTATACAACTTTCTTTTTGATACATACAGTTTGGGACAACCTGTGTTTTATAGTGTTAGCCATTGTGGTTGAAAATGCGTATATACATATTTTACTCGTTTAAGCCGAATAGTTTCCGAAATGCCTTTGATTTACCTCAGTACATCAAGAATATATTTAACTTTACTGTTTCTAGCCTATACTTTTTTACGAGAGCTGGGAAACTTGCTTCAAAAATATGTACAAAACCTTGCAAAAAGCCTTGTCTTATCTACTTGAATGTTAGTTTAAAATTACGTTTGCAGGCGCTCAAGCTAAGGAAGTTTAACATATTTCACAAGGACACTACTTTGGTGTTTTTTTAGTAAATTGTCTTACTTTCTGTAATTAAACAGTTAATTGGACTGTAAAAGTGAATTCACTATGAAATTTTGATATTGCTATAAGTTCAAAGCTCCTAGTCTTAACTCCCCCCCCTCCTCTCTCTCTCTCTCATGTCTCAGCGATACAACGCTAAACATTGGGTTTCGATATCCGTGGTGGGCAGAGTACAGATAGATCGATGTGTAACTTTGCGATTAACATCAACCATAACAATCAACCGAGTCTCAGGCATAGAACATACAGAACGCCAAATTATAATAATTTATTACAATTAGTTTCATGACGTTTCATTAACGCAGCGCCATAGGTAAAATATTATAATAATGCCAATTCTTTCTTTTTTTTTATTGGTAGCAACGTTTTGGATATTAATGCGCAAGAACAATTCACATATACATCTTTGAAAGCAAATAAAATGCTTATAGAAAATGATTGTTTGCAAAGTAATTCAAAGTGCTTACATGCATAACCAACTTTAGTTAATGTGATGTTTCTTACTATGTGTACTATTTTGAATATAGTTTGAGAATCCGAACACAGTTTAATTTGTTGATCTTTAACCTATCTGATACCTCCTACTGGAATAAATGGAGGAAGACATTTTTTGGAAGATTCTGAGAGTCCTGTGGTTTGAAAGTCTCTAATATAATTAACAACAATAGATATAGACCTGTTTTTCTATCAGGTACTCTTAGCTCGTCCGTAAAAGCATTAAAATAACTAAATTATTAAGATTAAGTTTAAAACATGTGTATATTGCAATCACTAGATGATATAACAGATTGTTTGGGATAATATCTCCTGATTCAGGGGATGGATAACTTGAACTTCCTTTTCCTTAGAGAGAGTCAGGTACGTTATATTAAAACGATTTTGAATATGCAAATGAACAAGTTATATGGCAGTCACAGCCAATATAAAGTCATGGTGGAACGATATGTATCAAAACTACATTTTGACATTGTTTGGCGTTTCGTGTGATGCCACTGAAAATTGGTCGCTCTTGGAAAGGGTAGGTAATATCTCTTTCTGACAAAAAATATCCATACAATCATGTCATCAAATGTATTCATATACCGATCTGAATATCTAAAACGGAAATATATTTTATACTTAACGGCATTGGGAAAAAAAAGGAATATGGATGAATTTGGGCACCAGGAGTATGCCGACAAAAGCCATCTACATGCCCCGATCAACAGTACGCAACATAAACAAGAAATATATGTGTCTGTAAACGACAGTAACAGGGCATGGGTTGACTAATATAAGGCTTCCGATCATACATCCTGTTCAGCAGTCGTATACCTTAATTAAGCCGCTGGGTAGTGAAACGGGTATACATGCTATTCCATAAGACATACCAGTCAAGTTGCCGGATGCAGCACATATGGATTTGTATGCGATTGAACGAATGGCCTCTGGGAAACTAGATAGACTGTGGAAAGCATTCACAAAGGAGTAGTGTACTTTGGACAAGACAACCTTATGATAGAATATTTCGTAATGGAAACTACTCTTCAGGGCTATCGTTAAGATGCATGGTGGTTTTAATATAACGTACCTCTGTATTTTGTCTGCGGTTTAATAGCTCATACATCTTATTTTCAATAAAACGCATTCCGAATTAAAGTTCAAAAAGTGGCGGACATGCTTTTTTGAAATGATTCCATACATACCAAAACTTAAATGTTACATGATCTCCCACCACCATTGAAAAGTTGAATACATTTATTTTATACAAGATACGGATTTAAAACTCAATTAATCTAAACAGACTACTTCTAATTAATGATTTTTTTAAAAATCAGTCCTTACATTGACTGCTTGTGAACGAATTTGTTGAACTCTTATTGACCAGCAAAGTTTACTCTAATGAAATTATAACATTAGTTTATCTTTCTAACGTCGTATTGAATCAGTTATAAAGCAACTCTAATCTAATGATAAAGCAAGCCGTTAACCACTTACCTTTGGCTTACTACCTCCAATGGATCCAGGCTTGATGGATCCTGTTTCGTAAAATCTCGTAAGTATTTTCGACACGCATCCATGAGACACCAGCAGTTGTCGTGAGATGTCGCATGGCCTCACACCCATCAGTGCTAGTTCCACGATTCGTCGACGAACACAGTCCGGAAGAGGTCGACCATTGACAAAGACTCCTCCGAGTTGATTAATACCAGCTTGTCCTTCATGAAATCGGTTATTTTCAACTCGAGTTAATTTTAACTAGTGAAAATGTTTGTTTACAAAGCAATTGTATAACTTAAGTTGTGAGATTTCAAAACATAAAATGTAAATTAAAACGGAAAGCATCGAGATCTAAGTGGACATTTATTGTTTGGTCACACATAAAAAGTTAGGAAATAATTCTTATTTGGGACTAATGACTCACTACCAGCGAAAACTTCACAAACAATTAAACTATAAATCATAAAAAAAGTATAAAAGAATCGCCAGTTAACATTTTTGCTTGTAAGTGTATATAATAAGCAGGGAAATTCGAAATGCTCTTTGCACAAGCTACAGTTTTTATAACAATCGTGACAAGTGTTTTACTCTAGTACTATTTGTTCCCGATTTAAGTTATACTTATAAATACGTTACTAAAATGCTGTTGAAAATAAAATATTTGTTGCGCCATAAAGAAAAACAACTATTAGGAGTTGAATCATAAAAATACCCAAAGTTAGAAATCACGACTCTTTCATTGAAAGTGAATAAAACTGAATAAAGAACTCAGGTCCAAATGATAATTAGGATTAAACATTACAAAGCTCAAAATATTAAAATCCACAAACGAACAACGTTTTTTAATACACAATTAAAATCTGTATTTAAACCGATCAACGGTTGTAAAAGACACTCTATATGTTTAAACGTGGTTTCACGTCATCTTCAGGAATGTGAAAAACAGTTACTATGTACCATATAAATACAAAAGCCATGGTCAGTGACTACTAGTTTACAATTCAAAAAAAGATCAAGCCATCTACATACTTTCTGATTTTCTAACTCTTCTTCCTTATTTAAGATCATGTTGTTTTTGCTGTGTTTCATTATTTCAATGGTTTCTCTAATATTTCTAACAATCATATTATTCGGTTGAGCCAAAATAACCGCCCCCCCCCCCCACTGGATGATATATCTAGTATAATTTACATGTTCAGATAATGCAGAGTTTTCACTTTTGTTTTTAACATTTTACTTATGTTTATTTATTCTATATTTAACTTTTTTTCAGTTTAACCAATGTATGCACGACCACATTCACATTGAACATTATATGTACATGTTTTCTCCATTTGATTTTATTCATCTTTAGTTTTGGTTAATATTTGAATAATTTTATTCAATGGTCTGTAAATGGCAATAACATTTTTGTTTTGTTTTTGAATTTATGAAAAAAAATTATATGATAAACCTGGAATATATGGTAAAAAGAACATTTCTTTTTTTATCTATTTTATCAAATATTGATTTAATTTACTTTTTTGTTCAACATATATGTTGTTAAATTTCCTCACGGCTCTATCAACAATATGAGGTGAGAAACCTTTATCTGATACTACGTGTTTAATAAGTAACTGTTCATATTTTAAACCTGCTGAATTAGAACATAGTTTTAAAGACCTGTAAACACAAGATTAAAAAGCTGACATTTTTTGTGACTTTGTATAACATGATTCTTGAGGTGGCGGCATGATAACAGAAAAAGGTTTACGATAAACCGTAGTTTCTAACTCATTCTTGTTTTTCTTAACAAGCACGTACATCCAAAACTGTAAGCTGTTGTTTTCTTCAACTTCGTGAGTAAATTGAATAGATGGTTCGAGGCTATTTAAGTAATTAGCGAACTCTAGCAAGTTCTCTTTACTATGGCGCCACCCCACGAACGTGTCATCGACATATCTAATCCATATTTCCGGTTTAAGTTTGGCATTTTGTAAAGCATCAGTTTCAAACCTATCCATAAAAAAGATCACACAACAAAGAGATAATAGAGAACTAATTCAGTCTGTTTATAGATCTTATTATTAAATTGAAAATATGAGTTTTCAACACCAGTTTCTATTAAGTTTATTGTGTCTAAAGTTTCAACGACTGGTATATTATTTACACGAAATTTGTCTTCAAAACAGTTGATAGTTGTACCAGTTTAACCTTTAATATTACAAAGCTCTGTTTCACTGACTTGTCGATAACAACAAGGCTTGAGGCTTGGTGCTTGAATATCATTATAGTAGAGTCAGCCATAATCTAGTGGTTGTCGTGTCAGGCTGGAGACCCAGAGGTTCAGGGATCGAGACGTGGTATCGTTGAACACGCTTCACATTTTTAGCTATAAGCGCGTTATATAAGTGATAGTCAATTCCGATATTCGGTTCAAAAAGCTGGATAGAGTGGTGGGTGTTACTAGCTGGCTGCTTTCCCTTTGGTCAGCAATTCAAACTAATGGGTAGCTAGGGGTCTCTGACCTGGTCATTCATTCCATATGCGCATGACGTGTCATTCAGAATGAAAATTCCAATTGTTCACTATAGTGATTAGTAAGAAATGCAACCATTTAAATTGTACTCCAGCACTTTCAATAAAATGTCATTTTTATGGTGACTTCATAACATATTTTTGCTAGTGTGTAATATTTCTATAGTATATTTCTTTTGACATATTTTGAGATTTTGTTCCTTCGACGAAATCCCTGATTAGTGACTTTTAGAATTAGTACTTAAAATCCAGGGTTTAAAATACAACAAAGCTTTATTCTTGTAATCGAAATACTTTCCATAAATGCTCTTAACAGCCATTATCAGGATAAAGGTTTGATAAGTATTTATCGATTAGTTATTATTCGTATGCTAAATATTCCTGACGTGACGATTTTGATTCAAGAGAGAATGATGTGACTAAAAGTTTTTATGATGTCCACGCGATTCCTTCTTGTTTGCAATTTAATCAACTATTGACCTTACACAACCAGCAGTTTTCATTACTCATGCTCTTGAACCGCTCAGAGGGTAATTAGTGCTGAACTGAACAGATAATGATCACTATACATAATTCACCTTTTGTGGACAACATTTATATACAGTAACCATGACATCCGGTAGCCAGGCAGGTGGGATCAGTGGAACGTGCAACTGGTTAATGCCTTTCGAATAAGGAAACTTTATGTATAAATAAATATGCATTTAGCTCTTCATAATTTAATAATTTCATTTGTAAATTAAAAGAAGTAAACTTATATACATATATATATTAACAAGAAGAATATTCTATATATATATATATATGAGCAAGAATATTATATATATATATATGTTGTTTGTTTGTAATTAAGCACAAAGCTACACAATGGGCTATTTGTTTTCTCACCACGGGTATCGAAACTCTGATTCTAGCGTTGTAAGTCCTCAGACATACCGCTGTGCCCCTGGGGGGGGGACACATATATATATGAACAAGAATATTATATATGTAAAATATTCACGTTTGTGATTAGTATAAAGGTTAGACTTCCATGACACTTACCAGTGCTACTGTACATCGACTGATTGTGTGTGTTGTTATTGTTTGTCGTTGTTTATAACACTTCTGCGATAGAGGTAGTTTTATAACTTTTTATAAGAGCTTGAATCGGTTGTCAAAGCTGTCAACACATCCTTCGTCAGGTAAGTTTACTAGCCCCAGTCTTATTGCAGAAAACAAAACGGGGAAAAAAACAAAAGACAAGTAGAGCAACCAGCTTGGTGTTATTATACCAAAAATACAACGTAATCTGTAATTGTACTCATATCGGGCCTAAACATGTCATTCAAGGAAGAACCGTGAGCACTGGCGCCGTTATGTTATATATTATATATGTGTGTGTGTGTGTATTTACGCGCAAGTGTAGATTTGTACATGTATATATATATATGACATTGGTCTGCGGTTGTCTTTCTGTATATAACTTTTAATTTCGGGACTTATGGTGTCTCATAACTTTTGCCTGATCGGATACATTCTCATTCCTAGAGCCAGTGCGTCAGAAAAGTGGCCATTTGGCCACAGAAAGATGGCTCCGTCGCCACGAGCTTCTGACACTTTGGAAAATGAACGTTTTGTGTGTGCACAACTATGAATTCTGCGGTCTCCGCGGCGAGCCGTTGTTTCTAGCCGATTAGCTTTAATGGCTGGGAAGGCAACAACTCTTAAAAGACACGGAGGAATAGGCCTAACTAACATTTTAGTTTGTATACTGTTTACGGGATGGCTAGGAAATTGTTCATATGGCAAACAAGATCTAAAACGGGCTCTTTCCACACGTTCACACAGAATTTTATATCTAAAAAAATAAATATATAAAAAGTAAAAACTATCAAATTTCAAAACCTACACACAAGTAGCTATTATCAAAAACTAGGCGCCACTAGTATTAAAAACAAAACTTGGAAAAGTAAATCATTTGGGCAATATAAAGTCCTAAGCATACTAAAGTGAATTATTTTATCACCAGTCTTCTAAAATTACCATTGATCCCATCTGCCTGTAATATGAACAAACCCATGCTAATGGAGTATTTAAACTTTTATCAACTAATTGGTGTTACACAGTGAAGTACTCTTTGGAAACTAAACCATGATGAAAAATATTTGAAAATTGTCAGAAACTTTTAATCACATTTCATTGTTCAGATATTAATTGGTGAAACGGTTCTCATGTCAGATGTGAACGAGGATGGTATGATCTGCATATCAAGTTAACACAAATTCAAAATGAAAACAGGAATCAGCATTAAATATTTTATGTACCTCCTATGCGCTACTATAAATTTAGAACGTATATATATATATATATGTGCTATTAAATATTATAAAATACAGTTTCTGAGTATAAATAATAATAAATACTGACATAGCTACAGTACAACATATTTAATAGGCTGATTGTATAGATCTAGTACACTGAGACGTAGTAATTTGATTCAGCAGTGTACGTATGGAATTTGTTTATTTTGTTATTCTTGTAAATATTTTTTGTTTTACATCACAAAAGCTAAAACGAGAAGGGTTGTAAGGCAAGATTCCTACATCTTACTCAGGGTAACAGTGTTTAATGCAAGAGGATAGATTTAGAATTAAGGGGAAACCACATCGGATTTGTTTAAATGTATTAAAACCAGATTTATATCTTATTTTTAGATTACGCCTTTTCGATTGTAAGGCATTCATTTAAACCTGAAAAAGGATGTTCGCACGAAATCTTTAGTAAAATATTTACATTTTATTTGACCGTATGTAGCTTAATTATTAGCGTATCGGGCTGCAAATCGAAAGGTCCAGGTTTCGAGACGTGATGCTGCTTTTTAGTGTGAGCGAGTTACAGAAGTGATAGTTATTCCCGTTAATTGATTCAACGAATCGATCAAAGCTTTTGTGGTGGCGGGTATTCCTGGATAGCTGTCTTCCCTCTGTAGAATAGTTCAAGATTAGGGAAGGATAAGCCTGAATCCTGTGGGGCCTTTGACCTGGTATTCTAATCCACTTGTAAATAAGACACCTTTCAGATTGAAAATTCTAATTCAACTTATGTTTTGTACAGTTACGCTCATCTATAAAATTTGCAATGCATCACAGCGTTTCCTTTTTAATACTTCACAAAGTTAGAGTGGTCGGTAGATCCCCCCCCCCAACCTCACCTCCTCACACACACACACCCCTACCACCCCAACTCACCTCCTCACACACACACACACACTACTAATTACACTAAGTTGATTCTTTGTCAGCTTGATGTCTCCACTGTCAGAAGTTTCGATTAAGCACATCATATGATAACAATCAATTCGACTTATTAAAAAGTAGATATTTTATGCGTATGTAAACGATGTTTAGAATTAATCAGATTTAACTGATTGTGTAATGAAATTGTAATAACTTTCCAGGGAAGACGGAGAAATTATATCAGCCTAAAAAAAACAAACTTTTATTGTTTTGAGTTCCTGAAAGAGAAATCATTACTACAGATAAGGCTTTAGAAAGTTTCTGTGATTTTTTTTACATTTCATACTATAATAACCGTGCCCGCTGAGGTTTAATCCGGAATTTTATTTATAACCCTTATAGTTGTTTTCACATGCGTGCAGTGTAGTCGTGTAAGAAAAACTATATAAAATGTTCTCAGACTACAATTAAAATATAGTTTCATGCATATAGATAGACTATCTTACCAGTGTGAGGCATGGCGTCTAGACTCTGCAGAATAATGAAACTTTCCGGAAACTCTGGTATAAAAAAAAACACAAACTAATTTTATTTAACAATATACTAAAAAAATATTTTATATTGTAGTACAAATGAGAAGGTACACAGCTAGATTCAAAAAACACTTTATACATTCCTTAAAAGTGTTATACAGATTATTTACTAGATAAAGTGTTAGAACAATTTAACAGTCACAATATAACACAGCCTTCGATGTCCGAAGGATTCTTTACAAAACACGAGCTCAGTCATGCACTCACATGAACCATGGTTTAATTGATATTCGTTCTCCCTTACATTGTTAGGAGTGTTTGACAGTTACTTCTCGAGCTTGTTGGCACTGTCTTTCTTATAAGGTTATACCATATATTTTATATATTTATAATTTTCAGTGTTTCGGCTTCTTTAACGTTTAAAAAATGTTTCTGATTTTATTTTTACATTTTCAGACAAGTTCTGGACATTTAGTAACATTTTCTAAAGTTCTAGAGGGTATTTTACCTGGAGGAATAGTTTCTGTAACTGGGTTATGTATTTAAGGTTTTCTGTCTTTAAAAACGTGCGGGAGACACGTCCTTCGTGTTCCTCGTGAAAAATGCCTCTATGGTAATCTCCTCAATATTCTCTAACTAATGCTTACTGCGTAGTTATTCTCCAAGTTGCATACGTGACACTATTCTCCCTCAATAATATCTAGCTAAAGCTTTCTATGTTTTTGTTATTCAATTTCCATACGTGACAGTAACTCCCTCAATATTTTCTAACAAGAGCTTATTGCACAATTTATCTTCAGTTTGCCTACGTGATAATAATCTCCCTTCAATATTCTCTAGTTAGAGCTTATTATATGTTCTTCAATACATAACCCAGTTACAGAAAACTTTTTCTCCAGGTAAAATACCCTCATACATAACCCAGTTACAGAAACCGTTCCTCCAGGTAAAATACTCTCATACATAACCCAGTTACAGAAACTATTCCTCCAGGTAAAATACCCTCATACATAACCCAGTTACAAAAACCGTTCTTCCAGGTAAAATACCCTCATACATAACCGAGTTACAGAAACTATTCCTCCAGGTAAGATACCCTCATACATAACCGAGTTACAGAAACTATTCCTCCAGGTAAAATACCCTCATACATAACCCATTTACAGAAACCGTTCCTCCAAGTAAAATACCCTCATACATAACCTAGTTACAGAAACCGTTCCTCCAAGTAAAATACCCT